AACCCTGTAAGTGACAAGAGCATTCTAGGAAATGCAGTGGTGTGCTAGTACCATACACATACATGACACACACTGGTGGACACCGGTGGCAACACAGAGAGCTGGCCGGTGCCCTGCTAGCTCCTCCAAGTATCAGGCTTGGTCACAGAGCAGGGTGAGGCTGGGCCATCCACAGAGCCAGCACAGCCACTGGGTAGAGGAGGGACAAGTGTTCCGCCCCTTTGATGGGTAGCTTCCTGGTGGTGTAGTAGTGGATGACTTCCGGGACACTGTCAAAAGGGGGGCTGTTCTGACCCAGAACATACTTCTCTTTGGTCTTGGCCAGTTTCATGTGCATAAAGCCCTGGTTGCTCCTGTGAATGAAACAAAGATGTCAGAGGATGTACATGGTGCCGGAGGAGTTCGGAGGCACTGCCAGGGAGCCGCTTGCTTCTGCCCCTGCGTGCTCATGTACTCCCCAGGAGCTGTCCCTGAGCACTGGGGCAAGGGTGCAAAGTCTCCCAGCTGTCTAGAACAAGGGGTCTCAGCCACACCTAGGAGCACCCTCCACTCCAGCATCTGACTGGGGTACTGGGGTAAACCACTGCTTATGTAAAGACTTTGTATCTGCAAGGTTCTGGGTATTTGGGGGGGGGGGGTAATAAAACCCAGCCCTTCTGCAGGGATCTGTTTAAAGCTTGCAGGTATACAAGATGTCCCAAAATGAGAGGCAGCCTTGGCCAGAATGGTATGTAGCAATGGCAGACAAACTGTTCTCTTAGATAGAGGATAACTATCTCAGGGAAGGGGCAACTCATCCAGAACTACACTTCCCAGCTTCCCTTGGGCACAGTTAACACATGACAAGCTATATAGCCAATGCACTGTGGACAGGCATGGTTTAGGAAGCTACTCTTTGCCAGCAATCTCCCAGGCATCCCAAGGCAGAATTCTTTCCTTCACATCAAAGGCCTGAAGACAATGCTGACTCTATCTGCACTTGACTATCCAAGCTATGGTAAAAACATGCCCAATCTCAGCTCCACCCCAACACTCAGTTTCCCCAAGAGCTTATGGGAAGAGCAGGGCCAAGCCTCTATGCCTATGCTCCCTTGCTTCAGATCTGTTCAGAACAACTTGAAGAAACTGAAGGAGAAGCAGTGGCAGATTCCCGTTGCTGGGAGCTCACGTGTCTGGTCCATCACAGCCTGCCAGATGGGTACAGGTCATGGATGCTAAAGGCCACTGTCTCAACTGTTAGGATTTTGTGTCCAAGAAGACCTCTCCCATTTGAGGTCCCAGGCTGCAGTCATGCTCTGGTTCACACATGCCTCCATCAGTGCAGGCTGCTACTTCAGTGTCATTCACCTAAACCCATGCCCATTCATGTGCCACTGTGCAGTTACCCAGTGTCTGTCATTTGTTAGAAACCTAAGGTTTCTGACTGGGAATGTGCCAGTATCTCAGGGCTCACCCCTGGGGACCCAGCATCCAGGGCCAAAAGGGAAGCCAAAAGCCCTCCATGTGGACTCTGGGGGCTGTGGCCTTCCTGAGCCCCAGTTCCCTTTCTGGTCTCTATGTTGGATGGAATGGGTCCCCTCAAACCTGCCATGTTCTCCGAATGTTTGATCAAGTGCAGGCACCGAGCAATACATCTGCGCATAATAATGTATTTAGAGATGTCACCCTGGGCTTAAAGGAAATCGTTCAGAGAGCAATTCCATTTCGAGAGAGAATAATTCTTGTGAAGAACCGAAATTTAAATCAAAGAGTTTTCAGGCTGTGATGTTCTAATTACAGAGCCTGTGGCAAGCTCTGCTCTGAAGTGAAGGTCACTACACTACTCCGTGCTAAAGGAGGTGCTGTGGAGCGCTGGCTCAGACACCTGGAAAGGCGAGCCCAGTGTGGCCAAGGACTCGTGCCCCCAGCACAATGCAGAGCCCACAGACACCAGCCGTCTTGGAAAGGATCTGGAGCTGCAGTGATGTGACACCCAGAAGATGGCCAAGAAGCCTGCTCAGCCTGGATGGTATCCAAGAATGCCTGGGGTTACTACAAGTCATCACTCTCCTCTGGGGGTTATGAGTGCAGTGAAGTCTTGGAAACCAAGCTACTTAGCTCTGTGACCCTTCCACAGTCGCATACAAGGGAGCAGGACGGAGGACTTCTAAGACAGAGGCCACAGCAGCTCTTAGAGGCTGACATCACATTACACTTCAAGGGGGTCAGAGTAGAGCAAGGGTTGGGGGTTAACATGAGATTTCCACACGGCATTCTTGTGCCACCTAGTAGGTAACAAGGGTGGTAAAGGCTCTAATAGCCACAGGTGGAGAAAGGTATGCTCTATTCCCAGGCAGTTGGGAGGGGACTTACCCCCTGTACTTCCTGTGCACACAGAGGACTTGAAGTCACCACAACCATTAGCGAGGCCCACTTCTCTCTGGGGAGTCTCTCCCAGAATACGCTCTAGACCCTTAGTGTTCCACATGAAAGCAGGCAGGGTAGCAGGAGTGACAGGAGGGCCTAAGCAGATGTCCTCTCCATGCAGAGCCTCCATGCCCTTGGTGATGACCTCACCAGGCAAGGGCATGCCAGAGACCAGAGGAGCTGGGTGAAGCCTACAAACAACACCATCCCAGGAACTGGGAATGGTCTGCCCTAACCAGTGAAGTCCCTAGCCATGAAGACATGATGGTGACCCTACCCCAAGAACTTCTTGGATCTTCAGTCACTTCAAAGGTCATGAGACACACACTCATACACACACACAGAGTACAGGGTGGTATCACAACCTGGCAAATCATAAGAGATTTAAAAATGCCAACTGGGGGTGGCTTTAACCACTTGTAACACGTGTACTGGCTCATTTTACTATCTTCTTGATATAACCTGGAGTCACCAGGGAAGTTTCAATGGGAGAACTGTCTAGATCAGGTTGGCCTGTAGGCAGGGCAGGTAGGGGTAGTGGGGGGAGAGAGAGAGAGAGAGAGAGAGAGAGAGAG